ATATAAGCCATCTGAAACCTGAGCATCTGCAGAATCGACCGGATCATAATGCAACACGAGGCCTTGATGCTGAGGGCTTCTCCGTACCATGCTCCCATAATGTTCACAAATGCTACAAAGAAGGCAAAAGACCAGAACATGTGAAAGCAACTCCTTTTCCACCATCAGATATGATTTCTCCTCTAGTTTCAGTTGGTTCTGTGCAGTTTGTCGAGTGTAAGATGGCCAACATGTAGTCTCACCCACCCCACATTTGGGATTATTTCAGATGATAAAATTAGAGATTCTCCTGACATTGATGTGTCTGTTGCTTTAGAGCAATAATAATAATAACACGAACAACAACAATAACAATAATAATATAATACTTTATTTATAACTCACCCTCTCTTCCCAAAGGGACTCAAGTGCATTCTTTGCCTACATCTGAACAACTTCAAGATTGAGTCCCCTCTATTTCATTTAATCTGAGTTTGCTTGTGGTTTCAGATCCTCAGGATCTCCTGCTCCTTTTTATTCCACCAACTCACTTTAATACTAAGCATCACAGAATCATAGAATCAAAGAGTTGGAAGAGATGTCATGGGCCATCCAGTCCAACCACCTGCCAAGAAGCAGGAATATTGCATTCAAATCACCCCCGACAGATGGTCATCCAGCCTCTGTTTAAAAGCTTCCAAAGAAGGAGCCTCCACTTCGGGGCAGAGAGTTCCACTGCTGAACGGCTCTCACAGTCAAGAAATTCTTCCTCATGTTCAGATAGAATCTCCTTTCTTGCAGTTTGAAGCCATTGATCATATTCCCTTTCCTGCTTCGGCATTTTGGAATCATTAAGCTCTTGATCTAGAATTCCTTGATAGCATAGGTCTGAATACTCATCATGACATTGCCATGATTATTCACCTAGGCACAGGAATATTCTGCAAGATATCATTAAGAGAATTAGTAACATGATACATTGAGGCAGTATGGCCATTCCAGGGAGATTTTGTTGTATTACTATTTCAACATATTTCTGGCTCACAGTTATCATATGTAACATTTGGATCAATTTTCCATCATCAATAAGTTGCAAGAGCTTGTTTGGGATCCTGCTTCTTTGGTAGTGGCATTGATTCCATCTCATTCTCTGAGGCAGAAGTTATAGTGTCAACCCCCTTTCCTTATTAGGAATTGAGAACCAACTGGAAGGTTTTCTCCAGTGAGAGAGGAGTCCTCAGCTGTTTGTACCAGGTCTCCAGTTTGATATGTTTCTCCATCTCAACTCTCAGTGTTGAAGACTACATTTACTGTGTCTGAAAAAGATCACCACAACCTTTTTCTGGACCTTTCACTATGCTTTCATGTGTTCCTTGAGACAGTTCTTCCAATAGTTCCAATTATGATTTTAGTCCATCTTTGGTAGATTTCAGCATCAGTACATATGAAATCTCCATCAGCACTAGGGGCTGAGCCAGATTTCTCTTTGCTTACAAATGACATCTATTTCTTCATGGATCAGATGTTAGGGATGGCAGGGACTACAAACTAAACAAGAACATCCATCACTGGATGACACAGTCTTTTAAAATATCCAACAACAGGCTGTGAAACTCTCATAGAGCTGATTTGGTCAGCTCTATGAAAAGGGTTTTGCCCCCTTTTCTCCATACTTTGTACAAATCTTACATTGGCCTGTTTTCCGTTCCATCCATGTCTAATCTTTATAAGGTCATTGGTTCTGAGCATGGGTGATTATTACAGAATCTGGAACCAAACTCAGTTGCTGTTGCTCAGTTGCTCAAAACTTCCAAAAATATTCACTCTCTCCAGTAGTGCATGGGGATAGGAAATTGGATGCGATGGGAATAACATTTTTAGTGACCTTTGCCTTGTCTTGAATTGCTAACTACAGTGCATGTATGAATGCTTATCAGCACGTTTTGTGGGGCAAGTTTACTCTGTACATTGAGTAGTTTCAATTCTCATTACTCTTTTTGCAACTTGGTGGTTGTGCTTTACTTCCCCCAAAAATCAGTGGGAGCAAGAGCAGAGAGCATTGGAATCACAGATTTCTATATCACTGTGATGATTGTTGGCAGCTCTGTAACCCAATTGTGATTTCTCCGCACCTCTTGCAACTCTGCCAAATAAAGCACGGCTAAGTCTTATTGATTTCAAAATGACTTATGGGCATATTAAAATACCTTTATTATTTTATTTTATTGTCCCATAGGAAGGGTCTTATGGTTCTGTGATATAACTTATATGGCTTTTTGTGTCTAGTAAAAATTAAGCAGAAATGCTGACCTATATTGAAGTGCACTTATTAGCTGCACAGACAAGCTCATACCAATGCCCCTTGATATTCATTTCTGCATTTTTGATTGGAGGATTTTACTTATTCTGTTAGGTGAAGTATACTACAAAAACATTGACATCTTTGTTGGTAGATCAATATACACACAACTGTTACAGAGACTTCTAATTTGTAAAGACATATATCAATTGGCAGACTGGTTTTTTTGTAGTAGAAAGTGATGATAATATACTGTATATTCTTCATATATCTGCTGTATCTGTGCACCAGCAGTTAATTGTGTGTGCCCTGCAAGGCTCGTAGTTTATCAGTTTGCCACAATATTGTGCCAAATCTGATTGCTAAGCAAATTTAACTTCTTTTTACCTCATTGTGCCTGTTATTAGGTTGGCAAATGGTACTATTAACCCATGCAGAATGTTTCTCTGCAGCACCGAGGAGAGAATTTTCCATTTACTTGAAAGGCCTTGGCATAATTTCTACCTGTTATTGCTGATTTTGGGTCCCTGACTTGCATCTCTGTTTGCTTTTTTTCTCTATCATCTCCCTGTGTAGGAATTTTAAGCAGTCTTCATTATTGTCAGTGCTAAAGTTTACTGGTCATAAAACCTCAGAATACATTAGATGTGACTTGAGTAAACCAAGTAGCATATAAAATCTTATAGCAGTTGAGCTTGGAAAGAGTTTTATGAGGAATGTATTTACTGGTAGCAAGGGATTTGCAAGATGGCTTCCATTCAGTTTTCTGCCCTCTTCTGGAAACAACAACAACAAATATTCACAAGGATCAAATAAGAGCAACAGAACTCCCCTATTTGTGTTCTCCAACCACTGGTTCTCACAGAATTGATACAGACTGAACTTGGCTGGGATAAGTGGCATTCAGGTTTGGTTAACCTCTTGAGTGTCCTGAGAAATTGAACATTTCCAATATTAGTTTGGTGTCTGCTACTGAGAATGTATGTCATCTTATCATTCAGTCTGTAGTATGTGCCCATGAGTTGACATCTAGGTTTCTTGCAAGATCTAATCTGTGCCTTTGTTTTGAGAAGCTTTGTTGCTGGGAAATGACAATTTTTTTTAAAAAAAAGATTAAAATTTTAATTTTATCAATTTTTACAATAACATTAATGTATGTGCCAACTCAAATCATAGCAACTCATTCTGTAAAACTAAATGTAAATCCAGTTCATTATCTTTACTTATTTAAAAGAGGTTTTTTTCCAAAAGTATTTACATGAAGGAAGAACAAGCTTACTACTCAAAACCTGGGAGAAGTATTATTATCCAGAACTCGCTATAGATCACAATGATATCTTTGAATAGTTTTATCTAGCTGTATTAGATGGTAACAAAGTAACCTTTGTTTTCTTTTCAGTGTTTTTTTGTGTGTGTAGTAGATTATTTCAGGATAGAAGACTATATGTGCACAAACATTGAATAAATATTATATAATAAAAAGGATAGAAGACAGGAAAGGAGATTCCACCTGAACATTAGGAAGAACTTTCTGACTTTGAGAGCTGTTCAGCAGTGGAACTCTTTACCCCAAAGGCTCCTTCTATGGAGGCTCCTTCTATGGAGGTTTTTAAACAGGAGGCTGGATGGCCATCTCTTGGGGGGTGCTTTTAATGTGATTGTCCTGCTTCTTGGCAGGGGGTTGGACTGGATGGCCCATGAGGTCTCTTCCAACTCTATGATTCTATGGTTCATTGGGAAGTTCTTACCTCTGTTTCCCCCTTTTTCACTGGGTAGGTTTAACTGTTTCAGAAATAACTAGTCTACTTAATATTAGAGTTCCCATCCAAAAAGCTGCAACGAAAGCTGTTGTTTCATGAAACTTGTTAATGGATTATGTAATGTGTGGTTATGTTTTCTAGGGAAGCTAGCAATGGGTATCTAGATATGAGGAGTGAAGTTTTAGTGCAAGTTGTGCTTACACATGTATCATGAAGTTAGGTATCTAGAAAAAAATGCACTAGACTCTGGTTTAAGGAGGAGTGAAAGTTGCTAAAGTGGGCATTCTCAGTTGTATCCTTCTGATAATGAAGTTATCATCAGTTCATCTCCTGTCCAGGAGGATCTTCTGGCATATTGTTGGCATTCTGTGGAGCTATTTGAATTGGCCATGGAAGTTTAGCATTAAAACTTGGATTAGAAAGAGTTCAAAAAAACTTTCTAAGGTGGTAAAGTAGCAGCTGGAATGACTGGTGGAGGATTTCCCTCCCAGTCTGTTTTTTTTTTACTAGTAAAATAGCCCTACTTCCCACCTCATTTATTTCTACTGGAACCTGCTGGAACGACTGGTAGTGGTGACGGCTGGTTATTAGAAAATGCTAGTTTTAATTGCTTTGGAATTTTTGAGATGTTGTGATTAGATGTGATTATGTTATTAATTTTGCGATTAGTCATGATTACATTCTTAATTTTGTAACAACTGTACTCTTTCATTGGTTGTTTATTCATGATCAACTGTGGTCCTGAGTGATGACCAGCATAAAGTTTATATAGGGGAAAAATGTTTAGGTGCGTTCTGAACAGTATAGGTTTGTGTAGATATTTGAGAGAGAAGGAAGGGATTGTGCTGACTGCAGTGGTGTGTGAGATACAACATTCAATGTTTCTTCATAGAACTGGGAAATCTGATTCTTTTTATAACGTATGTAAACATTGAGAATTTTTCTTTCTCTCTTTTCTGCAGTTTCAAAATCCAAATGCTTTCTCACCTCCTTTTCGTTTTGGGACAGTTCCTAATGGCAGCACAGAGAGGAATATTCGCAACAATTATGAACTGATGCATGCTTATATGGTGAAGTTCAACCAAAGATCGGTACAAGATGCATTGTCCTCACTGAAAACAGGGTAAGAATGTTTACCAAATGTTGCTAATTTAAACCAGACTATTGGCAAATTGGCAAAAGGAGCTGGGGTGGTGATGGCCGACAGGGAACTCTGGCGTGGGCTGGTCCATGAGGTCACGAAGAGTCAGAAACAATTTAACAAATGAACAACACTGGCAAATTTCTCTTGGCCTTTTAGGAAGCTTCTCTGGAATATTCATGTAGCCAAATATATAGCAGAGCATTATCTAAATAAATCATATCCTCATTTTTGTTTTAGCAATTTGATGTGCAAATTAAGAAGAAAAAACCTCATTGTCTTTTCCCTTCAATACACATATTGAGTAGGGCTGGGCGGTTTCGTTTCGTTAATTCGTAATTCGTAAATAATTCGTTAATTTTTTCAATTACAAAACGATAACGAACCATTCTGGAGCAATTATTAAAAAAAACGAATTTTCAAAAACGTTTTGTAAATGCTTCGTATTTCGATATTGTATTCGTTTCGTTATTGTTTTGAGGTCGTTTCGTTATTATTTCCGCATGTCTGGGCCAGTTTTATGGTTTAATTAGTGAAAAAAAATTATAATATCACACCAACAGTCAACAACAGAGGGAGAGGGAAGCTTCAGAAGGTTTTGGAGGTTTTTTAGCGTATTTCGCGGTCGCGTCCGCCATTAACGAATCGATTCGTTATTGTTTTGAAAATCGATTCGTTAATTTTTTTTACCATTTACGAAATTTCGTAAATATCGAACTTTTTAAAAGGAAAATTTTGTAATTATTTTAAATATCGAAACAAAAAAACCCAAATACAAATCGATTTTAGAAACAAATTTTTCCGTTGTTACCCAGGCCTAATATTGAGAAATTGATTGACTCTTTTACAGAAACAGCGACTGAAACTATCAGAAAAGGTCATGATCAAAATTCACCTAAAATTCTGTTTTCACAGTAAATATGAAATATCCCTACCATGTCTGGATCTCCTATTTTAAACAGAGTTCTATCAATTGGACATCTGAACTAGTATTGGATGAGGCAGCTCTGAACATCATGACCTAAATCTAGTTTGTTAGATCTGACTAGAGAAGATCCATTTAATTAATGTGTTTGGTTTACCAAATTTCCACTTATTCAGCAGTCCTGTTCTGGTTTGGACTGATAAACATGTTTTACACCTGTGACTCCTGCAGGATATGCAAACACAACAGAAATGTAATGCTCACACATACATGCACATATAAATATTGTTGTTCGGGAACATCATTCATATGTGGGCTTATTCTTAAATCCAGTGTTATACATGGAAATGATACATGCCATGTTTCAGGTTATTTCTTGTAAAGTGTCAATGAGAATGCTGTCTCTTTCTTGGAGTAGGGATGTAAAGAATATTTTTACCAAAATGACCTGCCCTTTTCACATTTCAGGACTTTTTTTTTGCATATTGTTCCCTCCAGAATTTTGTGCAGTAAATGGTGTATTTTGAGAAAACATTTGCAAAAGTATCTCTGTATTGTCAAAGGCTTTCATGGCTGGAATCACTGGGTTATTGTATGTTTTTCAGGCTGTGCAGCCATGTTTTAGAAGCATTCTCTCCTGATGTTTTGCCTGCATCTATTGCGAGGTAAACCTCACAAAGTCTGAGGATGCCTGCCATAGATCCAGGTGAAATGTCAGGAGAGAATGCTTCTAGAAGATGTCCACACGGCCTGAAAAACCTACAACCCCAAAGTATCTCTTCTTCACATTCCCCAAATGTGAAAAATATTTTTAAAAGTACAAGATTATAAGAATCTTGTCTAGTAGGGAGACAATCTTTGGCATCTTTCATTCAAACTAAGAAAAAATATTTTAAGCCCAGTCATTGCACCACTAAGGCAGTCTTAGTCTACCATTCTTCTCCCATTCTATTACCTTCCATTTGTCAGTGCACAATCATATATTTCCCTACACACAACATAGATTTTTACAGACAATCAGATTTCTTTGAGAATATATGGAGTTGGTCCCACAGTATTTATGTGCTGAATGCATTTCCTTTATTCCTTTTTAAAAGCTCCTTTTGGAGGGCTGATTAGCAGTCTTTGCTGTCACCCAAAATAGTAGAGAGCTGGTTTTTCCACTTGAAGAATATTCTGTAGCATAACCTTCTTCTGGTACCAGAGGAATAAAAGAAGAAGAACCTTAGAAGGTTGCAGAGGAACATGCCTTCAGAGCAATATCAGCAGTGCAGTAGCTGATTGTAGCATTTTAAAAGAATCCAGCAGTGATTCCATTCTTCAGTATGAGGTTATTGGGGCAATAAAGAGCTAAAGTTACTGCCCTCACAGGGAGACATAACTCGATCTCCTAACCACTTGTCATCTTTAAAGATGCCCTTGGGACTCTTCACAAGAGCAGGGGTTCAGGCCAAATGTAATCTGAGTAATTACATTTTCCTTAGCACTATCTCCCAGCTGTTTGGTTTATAAATTGTGTACTTTACTGCTTTAATTCATAATGTTGTTGTGGTAGGCATGTTGGCAAACTGTTGCACTGTAATTTGTATCTGGAATAGAAAACTATTGCTCTACTGACTGAGTTGGACATTTGAACATAGCCTTTTCTTCTTACCCATATCGAACCTCCCCGAAACTGGAGAATTTGCACCCTTACCTCCTGCTTGGAACTGACTCACGAAAACCAGGGCCAGGTTCTAGCTTCCTGTCTTGGCTAATGTCAGGTTATGCTTAATTTTTGCCCTTCCTTCAGCAGTATGAAATGATCCAGGCTTGCGCCTGTCTTGCTTGTTACTATTTTGGAAGTATTATATATATATATATTTGTTATTTCCATTGCAGGAAGCTGGATGCTTTTATCTATGATGCAGCTGTGCTAAACTACATGGCTGGCAGAGATGAAGGCTGCAAGCTGGTGACAATTGGCAGTGGGAAGGTCTTTGCTTCCACGGGGTATGGCATTGCTATCCAGAAGAATTCAGGCTGGAAACGTCAAGTGGATCTGGCAATCCTACAGCTTTTTGGTGATGGTAAGTGATTTGGATGGAAAGTATGGGACTATCTTCTCCTGATAATGTTTCAAAACTTACCAAAACCTGTCCTCTCATGTTTCAGACTTCATGCAAAGATTATAGATGTCTGAAACATCATGGAAGTTATGCTTTATAGCAGTTGGTTGGTTGGTTTATTAATTTTCTTATGATAATTAGAGGTAGAACCCTGAACACCTTACAAATGTAGTAATTGTATGTGTGTGAGTGCGTGTGTGTGTGTGTGTGCACATTTTGGCTCTTCAGAATATATTTACATGCAAAATTTATCAACTCTATGTCACAACAAATACAAATGCACTGTAACTGGAAATAGAAGTGGAGGCATGGAAGGTTCATTCATTTCTTAAAAAGAGGTTGATTTGGGAATTCTGAAGGAAAACATAGAATGAAACCTGTCAGTCCTTTCCCTTTTATCAGTGGAAAAATTGCATCAGTGGAATTTTTGTGAGGGTGTAAATAGAAAACCCGCTTCATTCTAGGAAAAACCTTTCTTTCATTCTAAATCCCTCTTTGTTTTTATTGTCTGTATGCTTCTTTCTAGGAAATTGCAGGGGAATGTTACTAGACCATTCAGTTTCTTTCATATTACCACGAGAGGTTTTTGTACATTCTTTTCTACGTCCCACAACAGCTAACAAAATTGTAAAGTAAACCTCTCTTAGGACAATTCAATACATTTTAATAAGAGGTACATGAGGTAGATAATTATGCAAATATCAATATGCCAAACAAAAGAACGCAGAACAGCAAATATTCACTAGAATTAAAAAATCTACTGATAATTCATAAACCTAATAGTAAAAAGACAAAGCTAATATCAAAGAACACACAAAAATAAATATATTGAATCCAAAAGTTTACATATAAATATTTCAAATTTGTATATGAACCAATTTGTGCAATCCTATGGTTTTCATAGTTTTCTTTGAAAATAAATTTACAGATTTTGCCAAATCTTTTCTCTGAAATTTAGCCTACACCTATTGGTATCCGTTGGCAGTCTCCCATCCAAGTACTAACCAGGGCTGACCCTTCCTAATTTTTAAGATTAGATGGAATCTGGTGTGTTAGGGTTGTCCAACCAACACATTCAAAAGTGATTGCATCTTCACCCAAGATTTTTGTTACTTACATACTCTCTTGTGGTCTTTAGGAAGTCACTATAAGCTACATTTCATGGAAACCTGGGAATAGTCTAATTCAGTATTCACTTTTATTCCTTCCCATCTGTCTTTACAGGAGAGATGGAGGAGCTTGAAGCTCTCTGGCTCACTGGGATTTGCCACAATGAGAAGAATGAAGTCATGAGCAGCCAGCTGGACATAGATAACATGGCTGGAGTCTTCTATATGTTGGGGGCAGCCATGGCTCTCAGTCTTATCACCTTCATCGCTGAACATCTCTTTTATTGGCAGTTCCGCCACTGCTTCATGGGTGTCTGCTCTGGCAAGCCTGGTGTGGTTTTCTCCATCAGCAGGGTATGTACACACAGCCAAAATGGCGGAAGAGTTGTTCTTATGATCATTTCCTTCATCCAGGCAAATTAGGGCAGTTGATGCCAATATTGTTTAGATAATCTCATTATACTTATAGGTACAGCAGTCTTTCTCACCACATCTTTGCTAGACTTTTCACCCTCACAAAGGTAATGAAGAGGAGAGATCTGTAGAAACTGTTATACCATGGAGCACAGCCACACACACGCACACCATTTTTGGGAGCATTGCTGCATCATCATCTGATATCATTTGGTGGGCAATTCCAAATTATATTTTAAAATGGAATTTGGGTTTCCAATCACTCAAAACAAGTATATTATTTTCCCAATTGGAGAAATGGAGTGAAAAACTACTACTGAGTTTTTTGTGTCTGTGTTAGTTTGGGGGGGGGGGTGTAATGGGAGGACGGACTCTGAAACAAATTATTCCACTTGCTTCAATTTTAGGCATTGGGTAGATCTTATTTATTTCTTTACTTTATTTATATCCTGCCTTTCTCTACCCCGAGGGGGACTCAAGGCAGCTTACAGCATACAATATCCAACTAAAAACATGGTTTAAAATTAAAAACATAATAAACATAATTAAAATACATTTCAATGAATCACATCATCCAGAGTCAGACGCCAAGGCCATTCCGTAGTCATATTGTACTTTTCCATATTAACATTTCTGCACTCCTCTATTTTTCAAAAGCCTGGTCCCAGACATTTTATTTAGAATTCAAAGACATTTAATGCAGATGAAAGCTACAGTATATTACGTTCTGTAAATAATTTGATATGTTACTAATTGGGGAAGTAGCTGTGTTACCATTGTTGCTTAGAATGTAGAATCTTATGTTCGAAAATTAATTTGATACTATTAAACATTTGAAAGTTGGAAATTAATTAATTAGCATCAGCGCTAATAATTGAGTAATGTTGTTATTTTTGTTAGTGAGCTTGTCAGTTGAGATGTTATTCCTGAGACACAACACGAGAAGGCATAGAAGTTGTCACTGTTGACTCTAATTGCTCATTTGTTTCTTGCTGCCTTTTCCTTATAAAAAGCATTTCCTTCCTCTAGCCTAGTGATTTTTTTCTTGCCAGGTGGACTGAAAAGCTCACAGTATAATTATTGTCTGGAAATGGTTGGAGTCCAACATGTATGTTAACTGTCAAGTTGAGAAAGGCAGAGCATGAAATCTATTTGCAACCTACCAAATTAAGTTTCACTGTCTTAAGTTGAAACAAGAGGCATTATCTAAGGAGGTAATGCCTCTTGTTTCAACACAAATAAATTAATTGGATGGGCTACGGAAACAGAAGCGATAAAGAATTGTATGATAAGATGGGCAAAGAATATTGGTAGACCCATCAAATTAGTGGAATGGGCGCAAATATAGACTAAAAAAATTAATATATATATATATGTGTGTCAGACTTAAAAGAAAATTGGCTTAAAATGATACACCAATGGCATATGACCTCCACCCCCAAATAGGAATAATGTACAAAAATAAAGATACAAAGTGTTGGATGTGCTAATTACAAGAAGGCTCCTACTATCATATATGGAGGACATGTGAAAAAACAATTGGCTATTGGAAAATTATTCACAGAGAAAGCCAAAAGATTCTTAAAACAAGCTTCCCAATGGAGACATTTTATTTACTTATCTAACAACTGCTGCAAGGATAATCTTTGCAAAATATTGGAAAGCAGAAGAAATACCAACTAAAGATCAATGGATAGACAAAGTGATAGGAATAAAAGACATGGACAGATTAACATTTCTAATGAGGACAAATTGGGGTAGACACATGAAGATTACGGACTGGAAATCCTTTGATGATTACATAAATATAGACACTTAAAGAAGAAATAGAGTTATTTTGGTGTGAACTGTTGGGGGAGAATAAGGGGGAAAGGAAGTTAATATAAACGTTCTCTTTTTTGGGAACGTAAGAGGTTTCAAAAGTAAGAGACGTAAGGAAGACGAATAGAAGACAACACCACTCTTTTTTTCTTTTTTCTTTGCTTTTCCATGACACCACCCATGACATCCCTTCCTCTGCCTCCTAATTCAGCTCCCTCTCCATTCCTTCCCCCATTTTCCTTCCCATGGTCCTTTCTTTCTATAATTCCCATTCTTTTTTCTTTTTATTCTTGCGTTTTTTGTTTCTATTGTATTAATAATATGAAACTCACTCAATAAAAATTAAATAATAATAATAAAAAGTTTCACTGTCAACTACATTCCTTGTTTCTTCCCATTTGCACCAACATGTGCACTTCCCTTACTCTTGAAACATCTTGTTTCTTAAAGGTTAATAAGGAATGATGTATTTCAATTAGTGGATACTGATCTACTGAAAGTGCAGCAATAAGCAGATAGCTATAAATATCAGCCAGGGAATCAAAGGTGTAGAATTCTTAATTAGAAATGAGAACCTTTGAGCACTTGTAGACCATTTTTCTGCTCAGCTGAATCATTGCATGCTTTCTGCCTCTTCACTCCCAATGAGGAAATGTGGTCTGTAAAGATCAGTCATAGAACGTGTCAGAGTTATGCATGCTAGAGCTAGGGACTCCAAATTCAGTTTATAGCATCATTCATCACACTAGAGGGGAAAAAATCAACTTAAAATATGGTTTCTGCCTCCTGCAGAATTCTGGGGTTTCTAGTTTAGGGAGGAGCCTTTAACAGCCTCACTAAACTACAAACCCCAAAATTCTGCAGGAGACAGAACCAGCTTTTAAGTGGATTTTTTCTCTAGTATGATGAACTTTGCAACAATCTTATTTTAATTGTATCATCAGAAATGTGCAGGTAAAAAGAAGCCATGGGAAAAGCAGAATGGAATGAGTGGATAGAGAAATGGAGAGGGAGTTGAGAGAGAAGGAAATGGTGGTGACCAGAGTAGGAAAACTTTTCGTTATTTAACCTTATGTGAGCAACAATAAAATTACATTTAACTCAAAAATATTAAACAAATTGTATATTATACAATATTATACACTATAAAGGTGGTAATATACAGTATAATATTGTACCATAACATACATAGAAGTCCAGAATATAATAAATACAGAAGTTAGTGAAGAGAATCACATGCATATACAAAATCCAAATGACTCCCAACACTTAATTTCAATGCCACTTTATTGGGGATGTGAGGGGGAAGCCAGCTTTCATTGTGAGAGGGCTCTTGCTGATAGCAAGAAGTTTCAGGTTTTGGAATATTTCAGATTTCTAGATAAGGGTGACTAAACTTTACCTGTTTACTAGCATAGGCTTTGCAGGTTGAAAAAATGTTTAATAAAACATCCCATTTTTATACAGATACCTTTGCCATGATTGGGAAAGGAGAGTTAACACTTTGTGAGTCAATAGCTATAAATAAAATGAATACCAAAAACTGGAGTTTGCACGAAGGAACAGGAGTATGCGTCAAGTGAATTAATACCTTGTACTTAAAGCCCTGGCTTCACAGTCTCTAATTCCTCAGTGGACAAATCTTTTCATAGGCCTGTTCCCAACATTTTAAATAATATCTGCTAAAGGGAATGTTGTCCTCATTTAGAGCACTACAATCAATACTAGGAATCATGCCCAGAAACAAACTAAAAATCAGTGTAGTGCAAGGGTGGGCAACTGTACAGGAGAGAGGTGCCAATTTTGCCCTCACAGCTTTTCTGGAAGCTGCGTCATGCTGTTTAGGGTGAACTGGAAGTCACACTGTGTTACTCCTCACCTCCATTTTTGCTCATTGTTTGTTTTGTTTATTTTTTTAAAAAATCATAAGTTGTTCAAACAAATAGCATCAGCAAAGATACAGTATCATAGAGACATTTTGCATTCTACAATTTAAACATTCTTTTCTTGAGCATCGCATACACACACACACGGATTAATTAAATACCTTAACATCCAGAATTAATAAAGCAAGATAATGATAATATGATCATAATGATAATTAGTAAAATAAAATAATAATAATAAAAATCATAATGATAACAACAAAAGAACATGTAAATTAGTTTAGAACTTTCCTTATTTAAAATATACTGTATTTATAGTGGTAATACAATAATTCTAATTACTTAAATATATTTAACTTTTTCCCTTTTTTCCTCTCACTCTCCCCCCATTCCCCTTCTTTGTGCCATCTTCCCCTGGACCAACTTATCTAAGTCTTTATCTCCAAAATGTCCCCTTTTCTGTTGCAGGTTTGTTCCCCTCTTCTTCAGTAAACACAAATTCTATAAATTTCCCCCATATTTTCCAAAAGTCTTTTTGTTTCCATTTCCCCCTTTTGACTTTGATGTCACAAGTCAGTTTGTCATTAATTGCTATATTCCAAACGTCTCTATGCCATTCTTCCAGTTGGATTTCACTTTTATCTTTCCATTTTTAGCTACTATCAGTCTTGCTACCATTAATAAACTGGAGATTAGTTCGCTCACTTCTTGTGAGGATTTAGTATTGTCATACACGAATTTTGCTCATTTTTAAACCCTTTGAGGGGTGTTTCAGGTTTGGGGTTTCTGGGGGTATGGGAGATGCAAACTATCACATTTGCAGACAATTTGTGGATCATTTGTGATCTGGTTTGGAAGAACACATCTCTAAACAGCACATTTTTAATAGTTTTGTGAGTTAGCAGAGTTTTAGGGTAGCTTGTGGGTGGGCTGCAAAAAAATGGCTCAGGGGACATATGCAGCCCATGGGCCAGATTTTCCCCAACCCTAATGTAGTGGATAAAGCACTACCAAATAGTCTACTTGTACCCATTATGCACATGGATGGTCAATGGGATGCTGCAGAAGATGAAGATTCAGAATCAGCACTCTATGTGTATTATACTAGTTAATAACTTGAAGAGTTAGCAGGGCAATGAAAGAATGGTGGCTTAATTAACAAACTGAAAAGGGGTTATAGATGGTGTATAAAGTGTAACTGATAAGTAATAGTTCCGACAAAAGCTGCCACATAAATATATGAAAACAATGTGCAGTTTAACAGCATTCCTGAGCCTCACCATTAGGTGTGTTCATGTGTTCGCTATGATGTCTAAGAAAAGTAAATTCAACTCATTCAGTTAGAAGCTGAATAATTTTCTAGATTCATTGCAATTTAAGAATGAGAAGCAAATAGATAAAAAATATGAAAGAATATGGATACCACAGATATGACTCTCATATTTTAACAATATGAAAAAGGTTTGAAATAGGATACTTTCCTGTGAAATTTAGATTCCCAGTCTTGCTCTACATCAATGGTTCTCAACCCGTGGGTCCCCAGATGTTTTGGCATTCAACTTCCAGAAATCTTAACGGTTGATAAACTGGCTGGGATTTCTGGGCATTGTAGGTCAAAACAGCTGGGGACCCACAGGTTGAGAATCACTTCTCTACAGTATCTTTGCTGGACTTCTCTGCTAAACTTCCTATTTGCTGTTCTCCATTACAGGGTATTTACAGCTGCATCCATGGAGTAGCTATTGAAGATCGCCATTCTTCAATGAACTCCCCCACTGCCACCATGAACAATACCCATTCTAACATTTTGCGCCTGCTCCGAACAGCAAAGAACATGGCAAACCTTTCAGGGGTCAATGGCTCACCACAAAGTGCCCTGGATTTCATTCGCCGTGAATCATCTGTCTATGATATCTCAGAGCACCGCCGCAGCTTCACTCACTCTGACTGCAAATCTTATAACAACCCACCCTGTGAAGAGAACCTTTTTAGTGATTACATTAGTGAAGTAGAAAGGACCTTTGGGAATTTACAGTTGAAAGAAAGTAATGTTTACCAAGACCATTATCATCACCACCATCGCCCCCATAGCATAGGCAGTGCCAGCTCCTTAGATGGACTGTATGACTGTGATAATCCACCTTTCTCTGCCCAGCCTCGGCCCCTCAGTAAGAAGCCATTAGATATTGGTTTGCCACCATCCAAACATGGCCCACTAGGTGATATTTATGGCAAGTTGTCTTTCAAGAATGATCGGTACAGTGGAGGGGGTCATGATGACTTGATACGTTCAGATGTCTCAGACATATCTACTCATACAGTGACTTATGGCAACATTGAGGGCAATGCTGCAAAGCGACGAAAACAGCAGTATAAGGATAGCTTAAAGAAACGACCCGCTTCAGCTAAGTCACGGAGAGAGTTCGATGAGATTGAGTTGGCTTATCGTCGGCGTCCCCGATCCCCAGATCACAAACGCTACTTCAGGGACAAGGAAGGGCTGAGAGATTTCTATTTGGACCAGTTCCGGGCTAAGGAGAACTCACCACACTGGGAGCATGTGGATCTGACAGATATTTATAAAGAGCGGGGAGATGACTTCAAACGTGATACGATAGGGGGAGCAGGGACATGCACTAATCGGACCCACCACAAACATGGGTCGGGGGAATTTGGAGCAAACAATGAGCACAAGCACAGTGTTGTGAGTGGGGTACCAGCACCATGGGAGAAAAACCTCACAAATCTTGATTGGGAGGAACGACCAGGGGCTAATTATTGCCGCAGTTGCCCATCTAAGCTGCACAACTACACTCCAACAGTGGTGGGACAGAACTCCACCCGTCAGCCATGCATCCGGTGTGAAGCCTGCAAGAAAGCAGGCAACCTCTATGACATCAGTGAGGACAACTCCCTTCAAGAGCTGGATCAGCCCTCTGCTCCTGTGCCGGTGGCAACCAGCACCTCCACTACCAAGTATCCTCAGAGCCCTTCCAACTCTGCCTCCAAAGTGCAGAAGAAGAATCGCAACAAGCTCCGCCGGCAGCACTCCTATGACACCTTTGTGGATCTGCAAAAGGAAGATGCATCCTTGGCACCCCGTAGTGTGAGCCTGAAAGACAAGGGCCGATTTTTGGAAGGAAGTCCCTATGCCCATATGTTTGAGATGCCACCAAACGAGTCCACATTTGTCAACAACAAGTCCTCAGTGCCCGCTACCAGCCACCACCACCACAACAATCCTGGCATTGGTGGTGGTTATATGCTCAGCAAGTCGCTCTACCCTGACCGGGTCACTCAAAACCCTTTCATCCCCACTTTTGGGGATGACCAGTGCTTGCTCCATGGCAGCAAATCCTATTTCTTCAGGCAGCCTGTGGTGGCAGCAGGGCCCAAGGCCAGGCCAGACTTCCGAGCCATTGTCACCACCAACAAGCCGGTGGTCTCAGCCCTTCACGGGGCTGTGCCAGCCCGTTTCCAGAAGGACATCTGTATAGGGAACCAGTCAAACCCCTGTGTGCCTAACAACAAAAACCCCAGGGCTTTCAATGGCTCCAGCAACGGGCATGTTTATGAGAAACTTTCCAGTATTGAATCTGATGTCTGAGTGATGGGGAAAAGCATGGGAGGGGATGGTACAGGAAATGCAAAGTGTGGGAGGGGCAGGTGGTGGGTTCAGACCTAGTTCCCATTTGCTACTCTTCTGCTACTCTTTTTTTCTTCATGGAATATTGGAGGTCTGCTTAGGCAGCACTGATGAGAAGTGCCACCTCTTTCTTTCCCCATTCCCTCACCCCTGACTATCTCTTTTCATTTCCCCACTCGCAGTTCCATTCCTGGTCATCACATGTCAAAGCTTAGTAGCTTAGCTTGTGTTTTCACAATTGGAAATGCAGGGCATGGAAGAGATGAGGTCGACATATGAACGGGGGCAACGGTCACAGAATTTCAAGGTTTCTTAGCATCAGACTGTGATAGTTGGTACAGATATAAGAATGTGGCATAAGGTGAAAGGTAGAAGAGATTAAATGGGCACAAAGAAGTTGTAATCTTTGTCTTTTAAAACCGAATTGATGGAATACAAAATAGTGTGGCATAGGTGTTATGCAGTATATTCTGATAGCATGCAGAGATCCATTCAGTTCTTTTATAACCCTGTGGGTTAAAGGCTAAAATATGGGTCAAAGCATATATAAGTGTGTCAACATGTACTGAAATCTTAGCATGTTTATGAGAAGGAGGGATGGTTCAACAAATGCACAGCTGCAGCCAGTAGTCCAGTTGTCATAATTTAGTGAGAACTCTCCTGAAAGATAAATTGGACTTATAGAAGTGAATACCAATGAGACCAGGTGAATCCCAGAAAATGCCTTTGGAAAATTTAAAAAATGAGTGCCCAAGGGAGGGGAGAGAGGCAAATTTTCCCTACTCATGAACAACTCATTACTAATTTTGAAATCATGAACTCTCAAATGTGGGTTGGTTTATGCACAAGCTTATAACATAAACAATAATTTTTAGAAACATCAATGATGAAAACAAAAATAAGAAAAATAGCATCACTAAGATATTTAGTTGACAAACCCAGCAGAGCAAGCCTTTGCAATATAAGGGTATATAAAGGGCAAATAAAAAGAATAAAAGGGAAAACAGGCTCGAGAACTCAGAAAAGTCTGTTGTTCAGATAGACTGAAAGTGGGAGAGTGGAATCAGCCATCTTTCCTTCCTATTTCTTATCACATAGAGTGAGTTTGTGACTATATTGAAAAGGCTTTCTCTGCTGTTGGTGCTGAAGCATTACTTTGGAGCAGAAAGTGCAAGAAGCTGGTGTTGCTGGTGGAAATAGGGCCAGCACAACTCAGACATGTGTATATGTATATTTATTGAATATATACTTATATTTGATAATTATAGTGTTGTGGAAATATATGGCTTGTCTTCCACAGGGCAATAGGTGAAGAAACATCCAATCCCATAGGTGTTGTGGTGGGGGCTGGCAAGCAGAGGTAAAAAGCAGGAGGGTATAAAACAAAGGAAGAGATCAGGAGGTGCTATGCTGAACAAGTGGGATTTTTTTTATCTAGCAACTTCAGAGTTGTGCTGGCCCTGTTTGCAGCACATATAGTATTGGTAATCACAGTTTTGCTGCTGCGGAAGACTTCTGTAAATGCAAGTTAAAACTATGTACATGGTAGAAGTGAAATTGTTTTCATTTACAGCAGGAACCCTCAGGTAAGGGCAATGAGTCCACTGTTGCTTCCCAAATATGTGGCAAAATGTCTCACTTTTTCATGGATCTGCTCTTCAGCTTTCCTAGCAGGAAAGGAGGGTGACAAGTGCTCTTTTGCTATATCTAGTCCATTGCAGCTGAACTGGATGCATGGAGAGGCACAGGCCCTGAACTTTGGAAGCAGCCAGTCTTTTTTCAAGCCACATTTCCTGCAGTTGTTCCTTCTCTCATTATCCTTCTAACCACAGCCCACTTGGCTTCATCTTAACACCTTTCTTGCATTTACACCAAATGAAGGCCTTGCTTTTGGGGTAGAAGGGGTAAGATTGAACCTGAACATTTGTGAAATGGGAATTCTCCCACTTTTAGATTTTCTGAGTAAGTTATGGAAGGGGCAGTGCCCTCTCTATGGCTGGAAGAGCCGAATGATTTGCAGTTCCTCTGCTCCCTCCCCTCTGAAGAAAGCGATACTTGCCTAGCAATCTGCAGAACAAAAAAATGGAAATGCTGAATCTTCTGACAAGGGCAGCTGAGAAGGCATTCATTTCATTTGTAAATAAGGTTTTTTTCTATTTTGTTTTGTATAAACTAGTGCTTCTCTTGTGAATATTCAGGTTTAGAGAGGAGAGGGGTTTTAGGTTGTGTTTCCCCCCTACAACTTTCAGGCTGGAAGTAGTTTTATGTGTGCCCAGGCCATTAAAATGGTGGAGAATGAAAAATTGCATGCATTGAATACCTCTTTCTAACCTGCACCCATCACATTTTTTTCTTTCATGGTCAGAAAATGGCATTACATTAATTTTAGCCTTGCTAGTGTTTGTGACAATAGAAGCACACCACCTCCTTTCCTTGATTATAAACTAATTCCATGTCATGAACTTTCCCTGGAACACTAGTCCTGAGACTTTGTGCTGTTTTCCCATGGTGATGGGGTGAACCATCATTTTGAATGTTCAGTTTAGATCATCACCCAACACTACAGGGACTTCTCCAAAGTTATGTCGGCTTGGAAACCTTGAGAATGGGAAATGCCCCCAGTTTACTAGTACTTGAGGTTTATTTGAGCTGGGTTTGACTGTACTGATAAGCCTGCCTCTGGCAGCTATTTCAGTATTCCCATCCCTTCAGCTGAAACCAAAAACATTAGAAAAACATACTTCGGAGAAAAGTGAAGTTAAAAAAACAAACCAAAAAGATGCTAACTGAACTCTCAGAATGATTCCAGAGTTATGTTTTAGGTTAAGGTTCACTATTGCTCTCATTTTCATATAACCTTTTCCTCTGAGGTTAGCTCAGTTTGAACACTGAAAAACATGTTTACATTTATAGGTTTAAGTTTGATAATATTCAAGTGCTTTACAAATGTTAATTTGTGTGCACGGAGCAAGACAAATGTCTCCTTTAAAGATGACTAGAAATGTTGGAGGACTTTCAACGATATTTCATCTGCAGGTATCTTGTGTATTGCCTTGACACGTATTAGCCTCTTGGGCTTTGCCACTTATCTTTCATTGCAACATACGGTTTTCTTTTTGTTGAAATATGACCAAGAGGGAAAAGGCTGATTGTTTGAATCACACATATAAGTGACACTTAGAACACCAATTGATATTTAAGATTCTGAGTGTTATTTTGCTGAAAATATCAAGTGAACATGACAGAAAACGTTAATATCAGGTGTCTGTTTATGCTAGAGTGAGGGCAGTAATGCTGGTTTCTTAATTTGCCAAAATTCCAAGACTTTGTACAACAGTCCAAATTTATGTTGATCATCAACACAAAAATGCAGTTTTTTCTTCCCTCTTAGGAAAATGTAAGTAGTTCCTAACATTCTTGTTAATTTTTAAGATTGATTTCTCCAGTGAACTAAAGTTGATTGTCTCTTTCGTGGGTGAGTGGTTCTGTCCCTGAACTTACATAACATAACTGGTATGGTTCTTGGCCTGACATCTCTTGCCATTCATGTTTTAGAAGGGTTTTTAAAAATACATTTTAATATTCATTCTTCCAGAGCCATGATGACACATGTATTGTGAATGTAAGGGAATAAGGGAGGAATGGCATACTTCCCAAGCTGTTGAACATAGTATGGCATGTAGCCAGAGCATCTATTCTGGCATTCTATAATGGATGTGATACAGTGTTTGCCAATGTAGCAATACACCCTGTTATATAATGTTATTGTGTCTGGTGCTCCATGAATATGGTGAATGGGATATTTTGCATAACAATGAGAATATCAAAGAAGGTGGGTTGTCCCTACATTATCACTGATCTACAAATTTTCTTATCGCTCACCTATTCCCTTGCACAGGCAAATCTACTGCATTTCTTTGACCTGTGGAAATCCAACACAATCTCAATATGAGTTCTATGTTTCAACCACATTCTTATAACCTTTCTCCTCCCCTTGGGAGTCTTTCACTCCCTAATTCCTTCAATCCAAACTAGCAGTTGTCCTCATAACTTCTGTCATTTATGACAGTAAGGAACTTGTTACATAGAAGTTTTCTTCTACTGTTCTGCAGAAAGTTGTTACCATACCATGTAGATATACACACATATCTCCATGCCAGAAAAGGTTGGCACATTATTCATGATTACCTTTGGTGTTTCTCGTCTGCTCCAAAATATGACATGTGTTGGCTTCATTCCATTGCATCTATCAGAAATAAATATATGAAAGACCAAGAACTTAAATTCCTGACAACAAATGATGAAGGACCTAAATCCATCCAATATGTTTGTATATCCTCTTCCACAAGTGCTTCCCTGCAATTGAATACTGAGTATACTAGGTCTATCCAAGTGGAAAACATCCAGTATACTACTGGACACTGCTCAAATATGAAGAAAGTAATTAGTGGGACGCTAGTTGTGTCCCCCAAGGGCTTATTTCCAGTTTGTAGCCAAATAGGCTTCCAAGCCATAATTCTTGTTCTTAATACTCCCTACACCCTCACCACTTGAAAGTTTGGTTTGGGTAATAACCGCCCATTATAGATCCAGGCATAAAACTTCATTTCCATTACATTTCTGGAACCCCTCAGACAAAACTCAATCACCTCATTACCTGAAGCCTGATTTTTGATGGTTTGAATCCCTCTTTGTTGAGTTTAAATGTTTCCTGATTCCATTTATCATAGGCAATAATGGGAATTGTCATATAATCCTATAGTTAGTGCAGATTGCATCTTGACAAAATGAGAATACAATGTAGTAACAAAAGTTCACTGAAAATAGAAAATCTAAGTAATGAAGACTGAATATTTATTCATACAACCAAATCAGCAAGGTAGACCAGCCAGGAAGGATGGACATCCCCTGATAATAAAATATGCTTCTGATTTTATTTCAGATTACTTAATCTGAATGCAAAAGCCAACATTGCCATCTGAATATCAAGGATGATAAACCTTAAATTAAGTTCTGTTGACCAATTCCACAATTAGTTTATACACTGATTGAATCTAGTCTGAACTCTGCATGTGTCAATTCTTAAGTCACTTGCCAAGCTCATGTCTTACTCATAAGTGGTATTCTGTATTACATAATTAATGAAATTCATTATGGGGTATGCTGGAGTGGCCACCTTCTAGATACTGGAGGGGAACATGTTGGTCCTTTGTGAAACCTCAGAAAGCCATATCTTCCCCATACCTTGTTTTTTAAAAACGTCTTTCAATTTTATTTTTTCCAAATTGGCTTCCTAAATTTCTCCAGGGCCCAGCTGACTTTTTAAAATGGCCTTCTTCGGGCATAAAATGGTCTACCTTCCCTCTGGGACTTTCCCCCCACAGCCCCTAGAAGGCAATATATTTAATTTTTTAGAAGAAAGTAGAAGGTGCTGGGGGATCTTGGGGCTCTCCAAAAATGCTCATGGGAGGCCTCTTGGGTCCTGCAAACCATATTATACCCCTTTGATATATGGAACAATTTTACCACATGCCAAACATAGTTTGAATTCATTCAGTCAGCAAACAACATGCCAATTTGATCATTTGTATTGGGCTGATGATAAATTGTATTATCAATCAGTCACATAATTTTTGATTTATTTAAGCTATCACAAATCGTAAATTCCAGCATCTTGACATTTTTGGAAAGTTGAATTGATTCCATAGTGAGTTGGCTGAGCTTCCTTCATCAGCATTGGTGTGTGTGAACACACACATACCCTGCTGAAAAGCTGAGCAGTGTAAATGTATTCTCACAGAACATCAGCCAAAAGCCTGGGTATGTACAGACACATCCCAAACAGTACATTTTAACCAACATTTTGACTCTTTTTGTCTGAAAAATGCATTTTCTCAAAGCAGAAACAATGCAACATTTCCTAACATTGTTTTTAATGTTATGTACTCATGCTGTGCCATATATAATATCATCCGCTTATTTGATTGCGGTTATATGTAAATATAAGTGTACATATGTATAGGCGCTAATTACAGCAGCTATATTCAGGTTGGGGAAGAGGGTATTTTTTTTATATGTACAGTATTTCCATATTAAGCAAGGCATGGGGTAGGGGAAGGGGAATTGACTTATGAGTTGTGGTTTTCCTTGGTCTGTGGTGTTTGAAGTTGTTTCAGTGGTTGCTTTTGCCAGTTTGGGAAGTTTACCTGAATGTTCTATGTGTGTGCTAAGAAAGGGACTCATGTTGGGGGAGGTTAGGGGGCTGGCAGTGGGTGGGGAGGAAAGGGTGTTAATAGTTTCCTTAATTAAAACACGTATTGATTGCTAGAGAATAAATGTTTGAGATTATATGTTTCAACACCAGACTATCCCTCCCTTAGGTTGTCTGTTCTTATGTTCTTCTCCTTCTCTCTGAACGAGGCCATTGTTTTGCTCTCCCTAATTTTGGGATATTAGTATCACCCACCATTTCAAAGCTTGTTTTTTCCCCTTCAGGTTATTCAGGATCATTATATTTTCATTTGGTCTTTCTAAATTATAAGAAAGACTGCTCTTCCAATATGTCTCTATATCCTTTTTGGATGGAGTGATGGATCATTTTGAAGCATCTGCTTAGCATCTTCTGTTAGGAACTCATTGTCTATGCTGAGATTGTGCCAATTTTCCTTACCAGAAATGTTCAGGTCTCCTTATAAATTAGCTTCTTTATTTCTTTGCCCCCCTATATTGATAACATGGTTGCCCCTTTCACCTTTCTGATCTCTCCCCTCCCTTCCTGTGGTTGTGTGTGTGTAGGACTTGCGAAGATTTCCAAGTAGCACACTTTTGAGGTACAGATTTTAGTGATGAAAGCCATTGTGGATATGTAGCTGGTGTTTCGTTCTTTTAAAAAATGAATCCATAAGTGGTTTTTACAGGCAGATGTTTTCAACATCAAATGTCACTTCAATCATTTCAGGATTTGTGTGGAACATGCCCACTCCCTGCATAGCACGTTGAGTGTTGGAATAAGACCAGGACTTCAACTTATCACTCAGCCATAAATTTTACTGGGTGGCCTAGCCTTGGCCAAATTCCTGTTCTGTCACTAGAATTTACCTTATAGGAATTTTGGAAAGATAAGAGTTATTTTATAGATGCCATCCTGCCCTATGGGTCAGGGTTTTATCTCATGCTTGATGTGAATAAAAGATAAATAATCCTATTATATTCACTCAACCATTATATTGATTATTATATCTTCAATATTTATCTTAGGTTCTTGTGGGTTTTTCGGGCTATAGAGCCATGTTCTAGAGGCATTTCTCCTGACGTTTCGCCTGCATCTATGGCAAGCATCCTCAGAGGTAGTGAGGTCTGTTGGAATTGGGACAATGGGTTTATATATCTGTGGAATGGCTGGGGTGGGGCAAGGAGCTCTTCCCTGCTGCAGTTAGGTGTGAATGTTTCAGCTGGCGAAACG